GCCCAATGGTTCTCAAGGAATCAATTTCGGGTTTGCGTTTTTGGGCAAAGGTTCAGTGAGGGGTGTCCTCGAAGTTCCTGACCAGCAAACCATTTCAACTGGAGTGATTGTTTGCACTTGGCTTTGATAGTGAAATAACAAAGCCTCTCACATGCTTGGACAAGTTTCCCAGTGTTTGCTTGTTTTTTCCGACCACAGAAGTTTTGTTTCCAGTATGCCCAAGTTGAAAAAGCGGATTTCACTGCCCAGTCCCACAATACTTCCCCAAAGGTGGTTCAAAAAGCCCTAAGGCTTCAGCCGGCCCCCCAAAAATGACGTCAGCCCATGCCGATCCCTCGAAGCTCTCGGACGCCAGGAATACCTCGAGGTCCGGCGGCGGCTCCACTCCCGGCACCGCAGCACCCAGAACGAGGCGAGGGCTCCTTTTGCCCCCCTGAGCCAAACCCGGGTGAGCGAGCCGCGTAGTTTGTGCCCGGGGAAATCCGCGAAAAAAGTGCTTGGGTGTGAAAAAAGATAAAAAGGGGACGCCAAAATTCGTTTGCGCGATCTTCCTTTCGGGACCTCCAAACGACAGACACAAATAAGATGGGCAACAACCAACCCACAAACCAACCAGCAAACCATGCAAGCAAGCATCCAGCCAGCCAGCCAACCAGTTAGTCAACTAACTACCCAATCAACCAGCCCCAGCAATCAACCTTTGGTTTTCTCAAGCACCGCTTCACCCATAAAGATTTCTGCCGCTTCCCAGCTTGTGGTTGGATCGGGGCCATTTGGCAAGGCCGCCAGATTCCTGCAGAAGATGCGGGACCGGAGTTCCGTGGGCGTGTGGCTCGATGCCTTGCGGGTTCCCCATAGTGTCACCTTGGTGTAAAATAAAGCCAAAAGGAAAAGCTCACATGCCTATATGTTCCGTGGTCTTTCGTCTTTTCTTGGGGTTAAAAGGCATGGTCATCCACCTGGTAGCAAGGATCTTGAATAACTATTGTAATGATGTCTACTCAAGGAACCATGACCATAGGCCAAAGAAAGCGAGTGTTCAACCGTAACATATGCCAAGGTTCCCCCACATCCAAGCACATTTGTCGGAGTTGACTGCAGGAGTGGGGCTCCGGCAAGCAGCGCCCCCAGTGGCTCTGGGATCCCCTCCCTCTTGGAATTGGGGGAGGGGGGTGAACCCTGGAATTTCATTGAAGCCATTTTGTGGGGAAGATAAATGGAATTGAGGAACCCCCCACCCCTCCCCCTTAGGGCAGGGCGGATATGTTCCGGGCCTCGTGCGCCGAGGATAGCCATCGCCTGGCGCCATCACTTCGACTCTGACGGGGATGGCGAGCTTGACTTCAAGGACCCGGACACTCCGGAGGTTCGCCTGTTTTCGCAGTTCCAAGCCTATTTGCTTGGATCTTGGGAGGATCTTGGGACTTTAACTTTTTGGGAAACACAAGCCGACCAATTCGTTCAAGAGTTTTCGGAAATTCCCGTTTTGGTCCACTTTTAGCAAAGGTCCTTCAAAAGGTGAGAATCTACATTTTGTTTCGGCCCATAAGGGCCAAGCCTTACGCTGTTTTTCCAGATAGATAGCCGCCGCCCGCCTTGAAGCAGGATCGCGTTCAGTTGCATGGTCAAAAAGGGGCCGTAAAACTAGGTTGGCGGGAGGGTTAAAGGGACACCAAAAAGGTTAAAGGGACACCAACAGGGCTTTGTGGCGATTTGTTTGGATCTTGGGACTTTCACTTTTGCTTGAGAAACAGTGGATTTGTCCATGACGCCCACAAGAAGATCGCTTTTTGCAGAGGGGTCAACAGCAGCCAAGAAGGATAACCACTTGTTTGGGGTCCCGTGCAGACACGCTGTGTGCTTGAAGCGCGATGTGCGTTTTTTTCCGGCTGTTTGGATCGAGAGCGAAAGGAATTCTGCGCCGGTCTTGCCTCCTTTGGGTACAAGGCCTGTACCGGATGAGTTCTTACTTGGGGTTGACCTGTACAACGAAATCAAGGGGACTTGTCCTTTTCGGGTCCGTCTCATTTTTCTTAATCCTTTATCTTTTTGGGGGGCTGCGATTGTCCCTGTCTTTGCCCCTGAAGACGAACTCCAGGGAGCGCCCAGAGAGACTTTTGGCGTGTAGAGCGTAGACTGGGAAGCTTCCTGATGAAGCTCTTTGCGCATTGTGGGTTTCTACCTGGAGTCTCCATGACCCTTTACGAATGGGGTCAATACCCAAAATAAAGGGTCATGGACCCATAGGTCATGGAGACTCCAGGTAGGATGTGGTGGGTTATTGCACGGGCTATGCAACAACCTTAGCGGAAGCAAACGTGAAAGGTTGGGCGCTGCTCGACATGTTGCCATTTGCTTTTGGTTTGCCACCTGGCCGCAGGTCGGCAGAAGACATACCCTTCCCACAAACACAGCACCTGGAGGGTACCTGGAAGATCAGTTTCCTCTTAAGGGAACCCCCTGTGAGCTGCTGACTGTGTTAGTGGCAGGGAGGGTAACCCAACTCTTTGGGGCTTGACTTTCATGGCAGAATCGTTGTTCGGCGACCACATAACCAGCCACCCAAAATGAGCAGGGGGCGGGCCCCGTATTGGCGGAGGACACCAAGTCTAGGTCCCCCAGCTAGGTGCCCTTTCTCACCTGTTTTTTTTGGGGAGGGTTCCCCTACTAAAATAGACAAAACCGAAAAAGTTGGCAAACCTCTCTACTGGAGGACCTGAAGTGTTAACTGCTTTTGGGGGCCGCTTTGAGAAACCCCCACATGGCCCGACTCAAGCTGCGATCCCGCAGGGCAACACGGCCCAGTTGTGGAAGGAGCTGGCGGGCGAGCGGCCCGGCCTGAGGTTGGAGGCGGGTTGGACCCCCCCTTTCAAGCAGGAAACGCGCCTCAAAATGGGCCAAACAGGTGATGTGTCAGGCGATCCAAAACGAGGGAATACACCGGCACTCCTGTTTTGACTGTGTTCGCGGCGTGCGGGGTGTGAAAAAAGTCAAAACCAGGGCAGGTTCCCTTGAACCACCACTGAGGGCCTCAGGGGGTTGACTTTGTTAATGGTAAACTAGTGAATCCAGTCAAATGGTTGGTGGACACAACCCCCCGGGTTGTTTGGTTGACATCAGACATCCACAGAAGGGTCCTCCAAGTGAAAAATCCGCACCCACAGGCCTCTCGAGAAAACTTTCACAAGCCAATGGGATGACCCGATCAGGTGGGGATTGGCTTTGGCTCCGCCAGGATTTGGATCCAGAGCATGCTGCCTACCTGGAGGCCTGAAAAGCTTTGCAGTTGGGTGCCTTGAAGTGAAGGGGCATTTTCCCTTTGAACTACTTAGGAGGCTTCCGGTTGCTTCGGAATATATGTTGTATCTTCCCTTGTTTATTTCAAAGGGACTCTATCACTACTGGAAGGATTTGTTCATTTTTTCGCCACAAAAAGGATGTGATTTTTAATAGACCCAGCTCTAGTACGCCCCTGCCCAAAACCGCCCGCCCGCAGTCCCCAAACGAAGTGGCGGGAGACGTGACCCGTGACGCCGCAGGCCTTCAGCAGCTGGTGCGCCAAGACACACCTCGGCCCAGCGGAAGTTTTTAGGCCCGCCGGGTTGTGTCCTTTGACGGCGGCGAGCGGTCAGCGGGCCGACGCATCGATCGGAAACACCCTGCAGACTGGCTGCGATGGGAGTGAGATGGGAGTGAGATGGTTGAAAGGGAATCCCCAGGTTCATTCCCTCATTCCCGACCTACCGATCACCAAGTGAATTGGTGGAGCGCGGTGGGGACTGGGATTGGTACATGGGAAACCCCTTAACTAAGCACCAAATCACCGATGCTCCAAACCTCCAAGCTGAAGGGGGGTTCTTGGGTCCGTGTTTTGGCTATGCCCCACGCAACCCCAGCAGAATCTGTATGGGAATGTATTGTATGGGCTCTTGCGTGGCCAAACGGATCCCTGACTTCTTGGGCTGGGAGGAAGATCGACCAAGACGGCTCGAACTCCATCAAGAAGCAGGAATTCTCGCAGGGTTTGCAGGTGTCGCTCTCAGGATCGCAGATCTCTCGGGTGGCACTAGTCACACTTCCTGCCATAGCGACAACCATAGGGGGAATGAGATGACAAGCAGTTTGACCTTACGGGATTCTCTGCACATATTCGTTGGGCAGTTTCCTTTTGTTTTTTTTTTGAGACAGCCCCCAACAGGACATGTTCTTGTTTGTAGAAGGATTCTGCGAAAAGCATCTCAGACACGCGAAATGCGCAGGGGTCAACTCATGGTCTCAGATTGGAAGAGCTGCATGCTGAAATGGAGTGCCAGCCTTCCAGCCAACCAACCAACCAACCAAGCAACCCATACCCAACCCAACCCAACCATGCCAGTTAACCCAACAAGGGCCCAGATTCGAGCAACCGAACTCCTGTCTCTCCAGTTGCCACCGTCAGAGGAGACCATCATGTAAAACGCGGTACGAACACCGCTAGAGTGGCTTGCCTGGAAGCGCTGGGAAAGCGACGCCATTTCCGTCCAAGGTGGTTTTCCACCACAAACGCCTTTCGGGGCCCAAGGAAAAAGGGGAGCCTCAAACCTGGGGGACTTAGAATACATTTTACTTTTTACCACTGAAGCAAGCAATCAAATATACATTCTATATCAATTGGGCCTAACTCTAATCATGAATCCGCTAGCCGCCATGTTTGGTATCTATCCCAGTTTTGTTGAGTTTGTTTTTAGGCGAGAGAAAGCGATTCAAGGCACCCATTTGTTGCAGGTTCTAATCAACAGGTTCCGATCGCCACAGGAGAATCATGTGTTCGCAACTTCCCCCATTCGGGTGTGTCTTTTTGAAGGCTTTCAAATGGTTTTACCTCTTGGTTTTTCTTCAACACCAACCAAAAGAGGGTTCCCCAAACCCTGGTGTACTTGGTGGTTTAATCATCTACCAGGGCCATCTATTTCCCCTAAAAGAACGCCTATGACGGAACCCTTTGCTAGAATCCAGCGGTTTTTACTTTTGGTTTCCCTTTGAAACTGGGAAACCGAGTTGCCGAAGGGGGTCGTCGACTTGCGTCAAGTCCAGTGAGGCCTTAGGCTTCTTCGAAGATTCCCTGCCTGCCGGCCTCCGCAGCGAGGCGCCCGGGGAGCTTTTAACTGTCTGATGATTTTGGAAAGAGGGTATCACCAAATGTGAGATATTTCTGAGCCACACTCTAAAATCTCGGCGTTTTCGGAGACTTGTTTTCTTGCCATTTCGATGTTGGAGACTTGATGGTTTTTTTGTGGCCATTTTGCCGGCGTGAACATCGTCCAACTGTTTTGACAGGTCCGGTCCGCTGTGATGTTCACAAGTCTGGTCGCAATTTCAGCAGGGCTCCTTAAAAGATACATTTTGCAACCATTTGGAACATGGCTTTTTCCACTAAAATAAACGGAAACCACCATTTACAAGTTGCAATGTTCAGGTGTTTCTATTGTAAGGATCCCTGTTCAGCTCAGCCCAGGAGCTATTGGAGCAGAACCTTTTTCCCTTGCTGGTGACCGGTCAGTGCCTCAAGCCGGGCACGTACACGCGCGTGTGGGTGACTGTGGGTGTGTGAATGTGATAGGGAGTCGTTGATTGTTTTTTTTTTTGGAAGGGAATCTATGACTGGAAAAATATATCTAAATGGTTCCCGGGGCATTTAGCAAATTGAAATTCCTTTTTTCGCATTTGTGTCGAAGGGCAACCAAAGAGAAGCCCAGGATTCAGAGCCAGCGACCAGGGGAACAAGGAAACACCAGGTGAACTCTTAATTATGGTGCCCATCTATGTCCAGGGAAACCAATCGAAACCATCTGGGTGTATTTCCAATGAATATGTTTTGTGACATCCATTTCTCGGGGGCTCTTGCCTCCGAGAGAAGGGTCTGGCTTGTCTTGAGTTCACTCTCGGGTTGCGAATCTTAAAGAGAGAAGCAGAACACCAGCATCTTTGGCCGTCCTATGTTGAGACGAACCTAAAAGGGTCCACCAGGACCATCAGGGGCTCGTTGACCAACAGTTTTTGACTACCCAACCCGTTTAACCCCCCCAAAATCGAATCATCCAGAATCATGGCAAGTATGTACAAGACAATGTCTTTCTGTGATGAGCAGCTGACACTGAACTCATGCTTAGGCTTTCTGGGTTCGCTGCTTGATCCTACCATTCATTGCACTGTTGCTCAAGGCTTGTTTGTTGGGGCCATTTGTTTTTGGACAACTCCCGCACACCCAAAAGCTCAGTTCCTTTGCGTTGCTCCAGCAAAAAGTCAGGTCGACAGACAGCACCCTGATCATCCCCGCCGAACCCAGGCAATTGCGTCAATATCGACGACGTCCTTTTCCTGGAAAAGGACATGCGCAAGTTTTGTACTGCTTGGCATCCAAGCATTGCTTTCCCACAATATGTTCATCAATCTCATTGCGCAGCTTCCATTGCCAGCACGTCAATGCTTCTAGACTCACTGACAGAACCACTCGGCGTTTGTTGGACGTGGTTGCATTTTAAATTACTCAACAACAATTGGAGGTGCGCAAGATAGGAGAACCGGAGCCGGAACCTCTTTTTTGTTAGTTGTAAAGGAAGCCAAGGGCAAATAAACGACTTGCGTTTGTCTTTTAGAGGTTGTTAAGGTTCTTGATAAATGGGAAGCCAAAGCGGAACCACCCATTCCGGAGGTTCCAACATTTTGCCACCTACACACACCTAGGTTGGTGCACAGGGAGCCAACGAGAGGCCAACTATTTCCAGAAGCATCATGGGTGATTTCGGTTGGCTATTCCCTCCAATTGCTAGTCCAGCGATGTAGACTCTGCAAAGGGCACAAACTGCCACAAAGCCAATATGAACCCCGAAATACATCCACCTCTTGCGGGGATCCCCATCTAAGAGAGAATATGAATTCACCCTTTGGTCAAGAGGGCAATGCTGTCGGGATTCTATCTCAGACTGGTTTTGGTTGGTTCTCGAACTGATCGGCTCCCTTGGCAGTAAAACGGAAACCCAAATGTGCAACGTCCAAAACCTCCGTCTACATGTTTATCAGGGACTATGTCATATCGACCCGTGGCGTGAGCGAAACCTGCACGGGCGTAAGGCGGCGTAAGCAACTGTCGAAAAAAAACATGTCGCGCAAGCATTCCGCGTAAGCTATTGTTCAGTCATGTTGTTTGGAATATCCTATGTGTTTCTTCAGTCATGTTGTTTGTCATATCCATGTGTTTCTCATTAGTGATGTGCTTGTCATATCTACCCATTGGGCCTTGTCAAGCAATATTGTCCTTTGCTACTACACAACGCAAAACTAGGGAATGTTTGGGCGTTTTCCGCGTAAGGCTCGCGTAAGCTTCGCGTAAGCCCCCGCGTAAGCCCCAGCTGCGTTTCTGTAGTAGTAGCCTTGCCGGCTTTGAAAAGCCCTTCCTAGACCTGCCATTGTCCAGCTCTGCCGAGCTCATTGTCCAGCTCTGCCGCACGGCGCTGCCTTGCTCCACAAGGCAGCGCCATCGCGAGAAAACAGGACTCCGCCAAACGAGAAGGATACTTGCAATTGGAGACGACGCTTCTACGATAAGCCCCGCTCTTGGGAGCTGGAAGGGCCCAAAGCCGGAGACGACAATGCGTTGACTCGCAAGTTCGCTGCAATGAAGCTGTTCTTCCTCTTCTTCACCTTCCTCCACGGCTCGTCATCTGCGTGAAAGGCAAAAGTGCTCGCGTAAGCCGCCTTCCACAAAATTGCATTCGGTCTCTCTGGCGTAAGGGCTGCGTAAGGCCTACTTGAAGCCCATGTGCCGCGTATGCGAAAGCACGGTGCGCGTAAGGCTGCGTAAGGAAGCGGCGTAAGGAGAGGGATGCGACATAGGGAACCACGACACGTTTTGGACATGGCTCAAATGAAACCAAGCATGTTAGAGGACCAGTGTTGGGGAAAAATCCCCAGAAGGCCACCGTTTTCGTATCGGCAGGACAAGGAGAAGCGCTCCAGGATCATCCGACAGCTGCAGCGCATCCGAGATTTCGGCATCCAGGCCGGGTGAAGTGGCGAATCCCCGAATGTAGCGGGGGTTTACAGTTGGGGGAAAGTAGATGGTACAATTTCCCCTGTTTCAGTTGAACCATTTCCCACGTGGCTTCTCTCCCAGTCCTCTCTCTGTTTTTGAGAACAACGGTGCGGAGGGTTAGACAAAAGGTTCCCAAATAAAGGAAATTATGCCATCCGGGTGAAAGCATGTTCACTTGGATGTATCCATGGATGGTTCGGACAAACAGAAAATGCGGTACACGAGGGCGGGGTTCTCTTCGCAGCTCAAATTGGTGCTAGTTCAGTACTTCTTGCCAGGGGTCCTAGACACACCAGTCGGCAATGGTTATGAAGTCGGCTGAATCAGTTTTTCCTTGGCAAAAGGATCGGGTTAACATGGGACTGTTCCCCCGGGAAACAAAATAGTTGGTTTTCTGGTGGTGTGCGTTTGAAACCCAAGCAGACAAGGTTAGCAACTAAAGCGATCACCCATACTTACAAGTACGCGATGTCTCACGCTGTGCGTCATGATGATTGCATGCGCACACCCGTCTCGCTTTTGCGACTGTTGGATTCACTGGGGAACCATACTATTCAATGATGCTTCCACTGAAAGTGAGAAACAAATTCATGTTCGGATTCTGGGCTTGTTTGTCAATCAGGGTTGAGCTCCAAAATCAGGATCCGTGAGTGAGGGGATATTCTGCGCTGTACCAGGGGGTCGTATTACATTGTCGTGGTATCACAGAAGTGGTTGCAACCACATTCTGATTTGGGTTTGTTTCCAACTTGGGACCCTCAAAATGCATTTGCTTTCGCTTGGTTCCCCACAAAACCATACAAAAGACACCCCAAAAGGCCCAAACATGTGTCCGTCCCCCCCACCAAAGTCCCACAAACCCAAGAAATGACCCAGCGGTTTCCTGCCCCAACCCAGCGCCCTCGCCCCTGGCCCTGGTCGGTTTGCTTTCGCCAGGCGGGTCCCGAGGAGCTGCCGAAGGAGGGCCAGCGCATGCTCTTCAGGTCCGGGCGCTTTTTTGGGTCGGTTCCCGGGGTGGCAAAAGGGGACTTGAAGCATGTCAACTTCATTTTGGTGAGTCAAGGGACAAACAACCTTGGGTGCATGTTGCTTGGCTGTTAGGACGTTAACTTTTCGCCAACTAATGGGGCTTTCCATTAAACCACTAAAAGTTGAACTTTTTAGCAGGGGAGCAGAAAGCCGCCGAGCAACCATATGTGGCGACATGTTGCTTTTGCTTGTGGTTGTGGCGACATGTTTACATGTTGCATAGGCAACAACTGACTGACAGGGCCACAACCGTGTAGGCGCGCGTAGGCATTTCGCGGAGGGTCGTGTTGTGAAGCTTCGAGTGGGCAGTCGAGTCAAAGTTGAACACTTATTTTCTCACATCCTCAGCTCTCATATCCACAAGGCTATTGAAACTGCAGAGGATGCCTTTTGTTGAAGTGTTTTGTGTGAGCTCGTTTACAACCTCTCAGTTGGCCGGAAAGCCCATTCGCTTGGAAAGCTGCTGCATCATCAGTCTCAGGCCTATCAAATGGCAATCTCATGCCAGGCAGGTCTTTGCAGTTGTGCGAAATAGGCGGCCCATCCATAGGAGGCATGATGTCCTTGAGATGAGTCCACAATTTTCTATTGAAAGTCACAGGAACTTGGCTGCCATTGGGTATGCGTCAACATAGGGGTTTTCCAACAAATGGGTATGAATTTTAATTATGGACCCTTTGGTGGACATCATGTAGGTGGGGATTTATGTCCACCAACCACTTGTTAGCCAGATGGATTTTGGGCCTCCTTTTGGTTTCCCGATGAACCAACTTGAGACCGACACCCTTAGAGAAAGACACCCCACTAGCAAAAAGCCGTGCGGATCGCGCATCCCGTGTCCCGGCTGCCTGCATTCGATGAGCACATGAGCGGCATTCGAGTAGCCCCGTGGCTGCATTGATGATATGTTCTTGCAAGTTTGGAAGTTTTGCAGGGGTCCCTATAGTTCCCTTCACTGCTCTTGGCATTTTTTGGTTGTTTGGTTCTTTTGTTCTGTTCATTTATAGTGGTTAGCTGCAACCAAAAGTTGTTTGCATACATGCCAAGGATTGGAAAGTGCCCACTTTAAAGAAGCTTGAACCACACCTTTCGACTGGTTTAGACTTGTGGGCCTGGCTGTCTGGCTTGGCCCACATGGGGGTCAACTCGCTCCAGCTTGTGGCTTGGCCCGCCAGAAACGCTGACTTCGGATCATTCGCTCAGGTACACGATATTTGCCGCCCAGCTGCACGCGTGAGGAAACGCGAGTGGGCAAAGGGCAGCTTCCATGTTTTGTCTCAGATTGTCGAGCCCCAAATTTACGTCCTGTATTGCACGCGTGAGCATCATGTTTGCCAGGGTCGAAAGAACGCTTGCTAAACTTGAGATTAGGGGTGGTCATCAGCTCGTGCATGCAGTCGGCGCAACTCCCCAATGCCGGTTAGCTTGCCCACATCCACCGTGAATTGTGCCATCTACTTTGACCTTGGCAACCAGGTGCTTGCTCCACAAAACATGGAAAAACGTACGCCAGGTACATGCACAAGTGAGGGAGTTTTCCTTTTGGTAGGTGAAACCCTGGCGACCACAGAGATTGGACCACACGTTTCAGTTGTTCGCTTTGAGGCTACCACCCAGAGCCGGGGGAGGCTCACTCCTCACACCACCTGGACGTGCAGCCCGGAGTGAAGGTAGATGGCGCAGGTCCAACCCGTTCTGAGTTGAGTGATCCCTGAAAAGACAGCAGATCCGAAGAATCCACGGCTACCCTGGAAGGGAGTCGTTTGAAGATCAACAAAAAGAGAGGGCCGAGGTGTTGTGTGGAAATCCGCTGGACCTTGAGGTACGCGCCGGAGGATGCCGAAGGCGAGAAGCTACCCGCAGCTTGGCCGCGCTTCGGTTCGAAGGGATCAGCAGGGGGCCTGACCTGCTTGTGTTGAAGCTTGTTCTTAAATGGGCCTTAAAACGAAGTTGGGGCCCCTGACAGCATAAAGGTTCAGGGATTCATGCGCAACCACTTCTGAGGCGGTTCCCTGAATAGATCGTAGCCCAATGGGCGGAAACCTCAATGGAGAGTCTTCTACTAGGTTTGCCTTTGAATCCCAGAGGGTGCCCTCACAGACCCATTCACCTAGTTCAGTCGAGGCGAAATTGGTGTTTCTTAACAAGCTGAGCTCATGGGCTTGGCGGGATCTCGTCGTTGCCCTCTCAAACTGGGGGGTCCCAGAAGGTTCAAACCCTCCAAGATCCTTATACCAGGCAATGGTTTCCTTTGTATCGCTATTGATTACGGATCTTAGGATTAGGATCTGGTAGCTCAGACATTGGATGGCCGGATAAGTGCCAAACGGTTCTTTCCCGTGCAATTCGGTGCCTGGCAGCAGTCCTGCTAGTTCAGGTTAGAGTGCAGACTTGCCATGAGTTTGGTGACCTGTGTCATGGACATCAGATCTTGCCATATCATATCATGATATGATTAGATCTGGTGACACATCCACCAAAGGGTCCCCAGTTCGACTTCATTCCCAGCTTTGGCACGCGCCTCGCCCAGGTGGTGATCTTTCTCCATGGCGGTGGTTGGCGGCGAGGTGCGATGTCTGCTCTCCCAAGCTCCACCAATGCCGACGCAACAACTTTGTTTTTGGCTTGGGCGGGGGGTGTTACAGACCTGAGAAGCACAATACAGGAATCCATTTGCGTTTGCACTGTTGAAACTTGGGCCGGAGGGTTGTGTTGAGATGACTTCACTGCAGGAAGCAGGCGATCAAACGTCTTCCATTTCTTCCAGAATGTGGGCTACGCGCCTCCCGGCATTCAATGCCACGCCGCTGGTGTGGAAATTGGCTCCCACTGGCCGCTTTTGAACGGCAAGCAGGAAGCTGGCCGTTTCCAGCACCCCCCCCAACGGCTTTATGACTTCACGCGCAAGACCGTAAAAAAATCCCCAGAAAATTTCCAAAACGGCCGTCGCTCCGGGCCCATGCGGTGCCACCCCCCACCCCAGCCCCCCCCCGCCCCCAGCCCCCCGCCCCCAGCCCCCAGCCCGAGGCTGGCGGAGCAGGGCTTCGTCGCGGTGCTGCCCTCCTATCGGCTCGGGGCCCCGGACAGGAGGCTTCGGCCGGGAACGTCCAGGGGGACCCCAGTAATCCTGGGTTCCATTCGCCAGGGCAACCCATGTTGGGTTTTTGGGGGCCACAGCCATTTTTTGAGGCATTTGAACGGTTTCCCTCTAGCTTTTTTTTTGAACATATCACGACAGGCACCAAAGGTGAGACTCACCCAGTTGGTTGGATGACTGGTTGCCCTTGAGCTTGCCAGCGGATTTCTTGCCAGGAAGAGCCTGCCCTTTGCCCCCTGGGTCCTGGGGCTGCTGGGCGCAGTCATCACAGTGCCAGGGCTTTGGCTCGGCCAAAGGAGGCGTGGAAACGTCGATGTCCGGAAATTCGAAGGTGTATATTCGTCTGTGGGTCTGTCTGTAGGGTACCCCTCTTCTTTTGGTTTTGAAAGGGAAACCATATGAACACCACCTTCTTGGGGGGGGGCACCCCCAAATTGTGTTTATCCTTTTGGTGTCCCTCTCAAACCACAAGGGGGAGAAGGTCAGTCTGTCGAATCCCCGGTTTCCTTGTCAATGAACTTCGGTGAAGATTAGTACTCTGTCCCACAGAATCTCATTCCCATGTTGGATGGAAGGATTTTCCTACGAGGATTGGTGCACTTTGGTTTTTGGGTGTCCCCTTTGAGAGCTTACCCGCTTTGGAACTGGAATCGGGGGCGGGGTGCTACGGGAATTCCACTGGTCACATTTGGTCCATTGCCCCTAACTCCATCTCAGGCGCTTGTGTGGGTGGGAATTCGCGTGGCGTTTGCCCTTCATGTTCCCCATGGTAAACGGAATGGAGCTTCCCCCTTTTAATGTTCCCCAACTCCTCATGTCAAGGAACCGCGGCTTGAAACCAATCCTTCCTAACACCAGACTTTTTTTTTTCCGGTTTTAAAGACGATTCATCGGTTTTTAGGGATCCCCCATGGCATTTCGAGCAACCCAGAGTAGAAGTACCGTCCTGTCCAAAATCCAACTTTTTAGAGCCCCAGAAAAAGGGAAACCGAACCAAACCATTGTATGGCAAAGGGGTACTGGTACCAACCAAACTATGTTTCTTGCAAAGGAAGGGCTGAAATGCCTGCCTAGGATACACCAAGGACAAGTGTTGAAGGTCTTTTCCGGGTTTACTAGTTGATAGCCTCCGTCTTCCCATACACCCCCTAGGTCCACTGAATACACAAAACACCAACACACGCAGGTGTTCGCTCTCCCGCGCCACGCTCTCCGTGTGCTTCGGCCTCTTCGGCGCTTTTGCCCTCACGCTGCGACAGCTCGTCCGGAAGGCGGGGGTTATGAGCCGTTGTGTCGCCAGAAAGGCAATGTCAGGGCCATAGTTAGAATGTTCGGGGTGCTTGAAGTCCAAAATTCGTCATGATGCTAGAGGCAAACTAGTGGTTCCTGTACTTCCCCTGACTATGAAGGAAAGTCCCAACATGTCCCAGCCAGTAAAGCGGTGCAGCAGTTGTGGATATCAAGTTGCTTTTTTACACATGGCTTTGGGTAGACCACCAGCACCAGCAATGGATTATGAATGAAAAAAATAGAGGGGGACTCCACCTCGGTTTGATGCCAATTTGACATCAAATTGCTGGAAACCGTCCAGATTTCCTCTTTATTCATTACAGCAATCGAAAGAGGGGGCCCATTTTGCGATCTCTCAAAAGTGGTTGGTGGTTGCAGAATTTCTGCTGCAAATGTACGGGCGTGTCCGTAAAGGCGAATTAGAAAGGGACGGGTACAAGCAAAACTCTTGTAACATAGACGCGGATCTGATCCTTGACTCTTTGGGTTGACTTTGTTACGACCGAGTGAGGCTCCAAATGGACTCCAACTCGTAACCACAAGTTCTTACTGCCGCAGAGCGGCCTCGGAACTGAGATGAATTCTACAGAAACTCCTGTCAACATGGCCTTGTGTGGGTGTTTCCAAGTTTAGACGCCCCCAACATGGTTTCCCTGTCTCTTTTTCCGGAGGTTTTGTTCCGCATTATTGGTTTGGGTTGCCACAAGTTTGGCAGTGAACCCGATGTGCATTGTTTTTGACCCAATAAAACCTGTTTGTCAGCCAGTAGGCCAATTGGTGGTTGTCCGGTTTCAACCTTTCCTTCTCTGGTTTTGGCCCCCCACGGGCTGCATACAGTTGCCAGGAGGGCATACCGGCTCAACGACAGGAGGGGAGCTGATGTAATACCTTTTGCATGCCTACATCAACAGGTAATGGCGACACACAGTGTGCGTCCATTGTATGGCGAGCTCTGGGCATCAAACATCCATAAAACGAGCTACATGGTATGGGGCCCTTAGTTGGAGATGGCTCAATTCCAGATTGTGCACCGCAAGTTTTGACCAGATGTCAACATTGTTCAAGGACTCTTTGGACAGGGTGGGTTTCATGTCCGCAGAGGTCCTGTGGCCATAGCCACAGTGAAAATGTCGAAGGGTTCCCCCAAAAAGTAGGAGAATGCGGGCTCCCCTGGTGTGTTTGGAAATGTGGGCTTGATGGTTCCCAGCCATCGTCTTATGTTTTTAGCTTTTAGGGTTTAGTGGTAGTGTCCGAATTTAACCCACTAAAACTTCGTCACTTTTCGCAGGGGATCAGAAAATGGGACAGCCCAGTGGACCTTTGGTGCTTGTCCCCACAACAAAACAGTATGGACTTGATACTTTTTGGGCAGACCATTTCGGTGGTAAACCAGAAGTTCGCCTTTCTTTGGCCCTCACTCAGGAAGTGAGTGTTTGTGGATGGACATTTGGACATGTTTGTGCCAATGAAACTAAACAGCAAACACACACAACAAAAAACGGACCCCCTGGGCGTGAATTCAAAAAAAAACATTTGGACTCCTGGGCGTGATTTCATTATATGTTATTCCCAACAACAAAAAAAGCACAAAAAAAACGGAGCCGCCCATGACATCCAGCGACCCGGCGACGCAAAAAATCGGTCGCCTTCTTTCGAGGCCGGCGTGCGGCACCCGAGCCACGTGGAGGACTGCGCGCTGGCGGTGCAGTGGGCGGCGGATGGCGGAGCTTCAGCCTTTGGAGGAGGGGATTTTTTGCGGGTGGAAACCCGATGGACAAAAACCAGCCCTGAAAAAAGGCACCGACTTACAAAAACAGACAGCAGCCTCAAATGGATCGATGGGATTCTCTTTAGGGGCGACGTGCCACACGTGGTAAGACAGCTGCAAGCAAGTGACCCAACTGAGGGAGTGGGTTTGCACAAACTTAACTGGGGGGAGAAACAAGTACTGCTCAATCCTACTGATGGACGAAATCCTGCATGATACGATTCCTGTAATTACCGCCGCAAACAATGGAACTTCCCATCCTTTGAACATGGTGCGAATTGGATTTCGTCCATCCACAGTCTGAGTTTGTTGCTCGGTCACACGATCATATCCGGTGCCGTGCACCTCTCATCCATGCACTAAGATCAAAGCGCAAAAAGATCACACCCTGCCCCGTGCTTTCCGAGAAAAAGAAAAAGAACAAAAACTAAACAAAAAAACAAAAAAGGGGGGGGGACCAAGAAAAAAACAAAAGCAACAAAAACGGTCAAAACAATACAACAAAAAATGCAGAAACAAGAACAGGAGACCCGGAGCAGCTGGTGCTCTGTGGCCACTCGGCCGGGGGCCACATCGCGGCGCTGCTGGCGCTGCCCTTGGGCTTCCTCTCGCGGCCGCTGCGAGGCGCCTGACGACTCCGCCGACGCGGGGCGCGGGGCGCGGGCTTGCAGCTCAGCCAGGTCCAGCGATCGGTGCCCGCTCTTTCACCCCTTTTTTGGTTGGGAGTAGAATTCCCCTAGTAAAATAGGCTGCAGAAAAAAAAAGGTACCCTGATTTTAACCTCGATCTTGGTAGTCAGGGAATGAGGGGACCCCAAGAACTTCCATGGTTTTCCTTATCAGGCTCATTCCCGCTGAAATTTCCAAGACCCGAGATGCCGAACAAAGTCAGGGGGTGAATCCGAAGTCCACCCAGTCACCTTTGAGCCCTCTTTGATCCATGTCAAACAGCATCACTCAATTTTCTGAAAGTGACATTGCGTCTGATGTGTGTCTTCTATTATCTCAAAGCTTTCCTTTTGATTTCCTGTCCCCCTGTGGGGCAGGAAGGTTCCCCCTGCTTTTTGGAGGTTGGGAGGATGGGTAATACAATCTAAGATGGGGTCCACTACCCCCAAATCGAATTGTGGGGAACCCAAGACCTCCCTGACAGCTGATTTATGTTTGTTCCCTCAGAAATCCTTTGACTTTGGTGGACGTCGCAAGACACGGCAATTGGGTTTCAATGCAACCACTAATCATGTGTTGAGGTGTTGTTTGCAAAACAGCAACATTCAGGGAAAAGTGAACACCGACAACCAACACCGAAGAAAGGACGTGGAGGACGACAAGAACAACTACAGAGACCACAACTAACCAGACGACAGCCACCGCAATCGCAACGCTACCTGCAACCACAATTCACCATCAATACACCATGTTACAACCACGGTACCACGACAGCACCACACCATCATACCACCATATCACGCTAGAGCCATACTATACCCTGCTATGCCATGCCATACCGTTGACATAATGCTACCATACCGTACCGCACCATACCATACCACCGTACAATTAATCACATACCCTAATAGCCACCATACAGTACCACCATTCCTCAACCACATCCGCGACCACATCCGCTACCACAACGGCTACCTCGACCGCCACAGTCCGCAACGACAGCCGGAACCGCAACAGCAACAATAGCAGGATCTAGACAGCACTTTGTTCGACGAATTGCCCCTTATAGAGGCTTCGAGGGAAGACTATGCAATTGTGCTTGTAGAATTATACATCCAAGCTTGAGCTTCCGCAGAATTCAGGACAAGCAGCAGAGATGCTGTTGAAACGGACCGGGGCGTGTCATCAGGGCCACTTTGCCAAGAACTTGCGCAGCGCGCGGGATTTCGTAGTCTACTTGGAAGAACATCAGTCTTTGCACATGTTTTAGCTCCGCGGAGCTCGTTGGTGTGGAAGCATTTGAACCCGCAGGCCTCATCGCTATCAGCGGTGTCTATTGCGGCCGGCGCTTTTGGGACAACTGGTTCACACGAGCGACGTTCTCCTACGTCTTCGAGGGCGAGGAGTGGGACGCTTGCTTTCCGCTGGGCAGATGTCCTGATCCGGATGGGCGGCAGCCTCAGCGAGGGAGAGAGAGGGTCAGAGAGCGGAGCTGTGTGCTGGCGGGATGTGGCTGTGGGTCAAAACCAATGCAATCCCATTTTGGGGTAGGTGAATTCACCACCCGGTTGAGAACCTATTTTAGTTGGGATTGGGTCCCGTTCACTGGGGGCACGGGGTTTTGAGCCATGGCCATGTCGCTAGGGGATCAATGGCTTTCGGGCTGAAAGGGGAAGCTTTGGGCTTCGGGCCAAACGAGGCAAGCGCTGGCAGAGCCTTGGCAAAGATGGGGGGGACAAGAGGTATCAGTTGAGAGGGATTAGTTGGGCACCTTTGAAGAGATAGGAATGGCCGCAGAAGTGTCTTAGCCTCTTGATCGGTGGGTTGCTTGATGCGACACAAGTGGTTTCTGTGTGTATCCACAATCGGGAAGGTTGAACCACGAACTTGTGTGGCCAATGAAACTGTTGAGCAGTTCCTTTCTTTAGCTGCTTGGATTGGTGTTGTCAGATGTAGCAGAACTGAAGACATGTGCAGCACTTTTTTCCGTGCTTTTTTGCTGCCGGTGTTTTCATGCCGGGGTGCGGCCACGGAAACTGTTCGGCAGGATAAGTGGAAGTCCGCATCCTGAGTTCCCGAGCCAGAGCAATCCGACAAAGACAAGAGGAGACAAGATGCTGGACTTTGTGCTGTTGGGGACGACCATTTTAGTGGAAAACGAGGTGTTTGGTTGCTGTTTCGGAAGTGAGTGCACATCCTTGTGTGCACATCCTAAATTTCTTGCCTCGGCAGATCCCAACTTCAACTCCCCAGTATACCTCTGTTTCCCGCTGGCTTTTCCTGCACCCAACCCCCCCAAGTTTGCTAAACACCTACCACAGTTTTCGACTTGACCTCCGGCCCAACCAAAAACCCCCTAAAATTTGGCTATCCCCCAGTAAACATCCCAATCCCCTCCAAAATAGACTAAACTGGGGGGTGCACCTACCCGTTGACCCACGGCCATTTGTTCAAAACCTCCCCAGACAGCACCTGGCCGGAATTCTGAGCCTCACCCAGCCCTTTACTTGAACTCAGAACCCCCAAAAAGCTTCCAGCCTGGGGGAAAAGCATCTAAAAACTGGCTTCAAAGCCCTTCTGACCTCGACGGCGCCTCTGCGCCAGGGCCTGTGCCCGGTGCTGCTGCTCAACGCCCAGTGGGACGTGGGCCTCCGAGGCCACGCGGAGGACTTCGCGCGGCGCCTGCGGGCCTGCGGCGCGGAGGCGGGGATTCGGGGATCGGGGTCGGATCGAGGTCGGATCAAGGCCCCATGGGGTGCTGTGGGCTTTGGCTCTTGTGGCTTTTGACCAACCAAAATGGGATCCCAGTGGTTTTGACCCACAGGTACATGGGACTGTGGGTCAAAAGAATAGGTACCCAAAACGGGTGGCCCGATCGGTAAGTGGCACCCATGACCTGCGGTTTGCGGTTAAGTTTGAGCCTCCTGTCCATGTGAGCCACGTGCTCAAAACCGATTCGGGTAGATGAAGGTTGGCAAGGGATGCTCCCAACCAGAAATAGTTGCGGATATCCGCCTTCTTAATTCTTGAAGCATGGTTCTGGGTAGACCATCTTAATACCGGTTTCGATTATGACTCATGTGATCTTTCCATCTGCTTGAGAATATTCGGTATTCCAGTTGCGTTCCATGTTATCTTCCATGGGTCCATGTTAGGTCTTATATTCTTCCGGTTGATTTTAAAGGGAATCTAGCACTACCGGACATAATCTTAGCGTTTTTTTTGTTTGGGGAGGGACTTCGGCAAATGGATGTGATGGAATCAGAGATCCCAGCCAGAAATGGGTGCGGATCTCCACCTGGGTAATGAGTTGCATGATTCTGGGCGCCACAGGTTTTGATGATGCCTCACATGGTGGCTCAAAAACTGGTGCCCTTCCTCTAACATGGCGCCCTATTGGGCTGCTCTGTTGGTGGAAGGATACCCAAAATTGCAGCTTGGTATACGGGAACAAAGACCAACACCTGCGTCACCCCAGCGATGTAATTTTGAACCACACGCATATTGTGGGGTACCAGAATGGTGTTGGGTACCATAAAAACATGTTGTGACATACATGTTTGACATGATTTCCAAACATGACAGACGGTGTTATGCTACCCCGCAACACTGCAGGCTTTCTGGTAGCCCTTGCAGCAAGCGGGGGGATGTTTGGGTTTCTCAAAATGGTGAATCGACCCCCCCCTTGGGATGGGTTTCCGGAAGGGGTCCGGCATTTTGAGGAAGTTTGTCCCAAGATGGGAAGAAAAAAGGAAAACGCAGGTCCCCAAAGGTCCCCAAAGTTTGACCCACAAGCACATGCCAAGGGGTTCCCATTTGGGGTGCATGACCCCTTTCTCCGCGAAAGTCCATTTCGTAGCCAAATAGAAGCTCTGGGGTTATAGCAACATTGATGTGTCCCTTTTCGGGCCACCCCTTTGTGGGGTTGTTTGTGAAAGGGCAACAGAAACAAACCATGTTTAGGGGAAGATTTGAACACACACACACACACACACACACACACGCACACACCCTGCCAAGAACAGCCCAGCGACTCTGAGATGGTTTCGCCTACCCCCAATATAGCGGCATGTGCCCTGAAGTGTGTGTTCTTTACAATAAAAAGCAAAGAAGAACAAGCCCAGCATCCCCAACAGCCTCCCAAACCATCTCAGAGCCTATTTGGGTGATACATTCATGTGTTGTAACAAATATATGTATTTGTATATATATATATATATAGTTATATCAAGAAAGAAGAAAAGGTAGTTCACAGGGGGGGGGGGCTGACTATATATATATATATAACTCTATAAATATACACCCTCTAGTGGTTGTAATCAAATGGAGCTTCCCCCCGGCACCGTTAGCTTCGCACCTGGCAGGTGGAAGGCCCGGTGGTGCTGCCGGGCACGGACCACTTCCGCATGATGCTGAACCTGGGCCGAACGCGGCGCACGGGCACACCCAGCCGGGAGGACAGCGCCCTGGCAAAGAGCGAAGGGGCCGCTGGCCAGGTTCAGGAATGCAAAGGGGCCGAAGATTGGGTGTGAATCCAGATCTAAAGGGTGGATAAGGGTGGTGAATGCGGAAGCAAACTCCTGAGAAGCCAGTGCAAAAAAAAAAAACATGCTTCCAAGCTGGGAATGGTTGTTCGTCAAAATCCAATCGCCACGTGCCACGTGCGCTCCAGTGGTGATTCACTCGCGCTCCCTTGGGCCCGTTTTGATACGTCGATCCATAGTTTCGGCCACGGCCAAATTGTGTTGTGCTCCGGCGTGGCGTTGAGGCATCAAGCCAATGAGCAAAGGGCAGCGCTTTGTTTGGCTTGAACCAAGGAGAGCTCTTGCCGCGAATAACGAACTTTGTGAGGAAGGTGTGCGAGGGGAAAAGGAAGCGACCTGCATTTTGAGAGCCGACCACAAAGGGCAGCGCTTTCGCTTTCGCAAAGGGCAGCGCTTTGCCTCAGGTTGTAAATATGATATCCAATGAAGCTGAGCTTGTTTAGACATGTTCAGTCCACGTTCGCTGGTGAACAGCTTCGCCTTGTCCACACGCATGGCTGCGTGTGCCATCGGTGCCATGTCGCAAGCGCCAGGCTGTCAATGTCCACCACTCAACTTGGAGGCGGATGGACAGATGGCCTTGCTGCTCTTGGTCAACACGAGATTCTAGGTACCTTCCCCCATTCTTTCCAGGGATTTGTTTTTCAGAAAATCATCAAAAAACCGGAGGAACCAGGCGGTCTTTAAAAAACAAAAAAACAACGATGGTTGACAAGAATGGGGAATCAACTCCTAGAGAGATGGGATTTCTGGATGAATTTGCCGCCCCAGGTGGCTAGGGGGGTGTCCCCTTTTAGTGGGCATCCGGATTTCGGGGCACCCCGGTGATCCGCAAGTTTTGGTGAAATTGGCCACGGCCATGGCTATGAGGGGGGCGTTTGGGTGGTGTCCTTTTGGCTTTCTTTTAACACCTGAACATGGTGCCCCCGAGAATGAGTCCCCCCCCCCCCTCACAGGAAGGGACTCCCTTCCCCTCCCCAAAAAACAAAAGCACAGGCTGAAGAGGCCGCCCCCCCAAACACACAACCCTGAAAAAAAAACAAAGCAATTGTTGGAGGTGTGTTTGGGGTGGTGTGCTTGGCTAGGTCCCCTTTTACCCTATTTTTTGGGGAGGGTTCCCCTACTAAATTTCGACTACGGTGGGGAAAAGAAGAAAAACAACATCGGGTAGCCTTATTCTAACCTCTCTACTGGAGGACCTAGCCTTATCAGGATCATTCCCACTGAAATTTCTGAGCCCCAAGATGCCGCACAAAGTGAGCGGGTAAATCCAAAGTCCACTCAGTCGCCTTGGGGCTCCAAAGTGTGTTTTGTTTGTCCTCGAACCGCAGGCAAGCACTGGAAGAAGGTGAAGTCCAAGATGGCCCGGGGAGACGGCGCCATGCCCTACTCCCCCAACTTCCGCCCAGTGCTTGGCCTCCGGACGCGCACGTGGCACTGTCCGCGTAAAGGAAAACTCACCGGTTGCACAAACAAAAGATGTTCTTTTTGACAGTTTCTGGGGGTCAGACACCCTGGTTGGTTCCCTTTAACGTACTTAGGGGGTGACTTTGATGGTAAAAGGACCGATACGTTTTTCCGCGAACGAGAAAACGTGGCTAGCTCCCCTCCCCACTGTTTGGAGTTGAGCTGGTCTGTCGAAGAAAGCAAGTCTTGGCTTTAGAGTTGGGAAACTTCCGGTTGTTTTGGTTTAAAGTGAAACGGAATAGTTTGAAAATTTGGGGGTTATTGCTCAGAGGTCAGTATTAACGAGAGTGCCAACTGGCCCAAGTGCCCCAAAGGCCCATCCGCCAGTTGGCTCCTTTGCCCCTGCTCTTGCAACAGATGAACTGAGGTCTAGACAACTCCTAACTTTCGGCCCAACTTTGGGCCAAATGAGACAGTTGCCGGCCGTGTTCTGATGGTCCGAGATGCTGTTTATTTTGTCGGCTGTACTCTTGGGTTGAGGGAGAGCAAGGGAAAGCGCCAAAAAGCACACATGCGGATCAGATCGATCGGGAGCTCAGCGTCTCTGGAGGTCCAAACATGACCTGGCTTGAGCAGATCGCCCTGTCTCGGGGCGAGCAGTTTCCAGGCCTGTGTCGGTGGGTTTGTTCGCGCATGGATCCATGTTGTTTCAGTTGCGTTTTGGGGACCCCAAACAGGTAGGTATGGGCTACGGTATGGGTGCGATCCATTTGGTTTCCCTTCAATCGCAAAATGTTTCGGCGCTTTGGCCATGAGCAACCAGATCGGGTTCTGCGGCCTTGCCTGACGGGGTCACTCTGAAGCTTGAGTCTTCTTTTGGAGGGACCCCCCCCCGCATTTTAAGGGACAATCAAAAAAGGGTGGTGTTGTGTTTATGGGTGTGGCTCAAAATAGGGACCCCCCTCCCCAAAAAATGTTTTTAGCGTTTTTGTGTTGGTTTCCTTTTGAATCAGCCAATCCCAAAACGGGCCCCCGAAAAACGACAAACCTTAAGCAAAATTGTTATTTCTCAGAACCGGGGTGCCCTGAAACAATTGGTTTCCGTTTGGTTTGGTTTCCCTGAAAAGACAGCCAACAAATTTGAGACACTCTCAAACACCCTCCGAAAAGAGTAGGCCATGCGCATTCCATCACTTGAGGCCTGCCTCGGGTGTCCAGATCGCGCGGGGGCCACGGACAGCCAACCATGGGTCTCTCCGTCTCCCTTGAAACCAACCTGCAAAGGGCAACCTGAAAGAAGCACGAACCCAAATGAGTGTGGGTCAAAATTCAAGTAGGGGACCACGGGTTTTAGTCCATGTTTCCATCTACAGCATTCCATTTTGGGTACCTAATTTTGGACCCACAGCCAAATGGTAAAATTGCACTTGAAATGGCTAACTGTACAACTTGGAAGGTCCGGTGGATTCGCGTAAGTGGCTTCAATTCCGTTTTGGGATGCTTTGCACCACTCGATCTTTTAACAATTCTGTGGTCTTGGACAACTTGCACTTGCCACAAAGAATCGGTTACTTTGGTATTCCTCACGCACCATCCAGGCCGGTCTTGCACATATCTCAGACTCCGGTGCCCTTTATTTTGGTTGTTGGGGCGTCCATTTTTGCATCAACTCCTTACTCCAAGTTTAAGGGGGGATTCCACTTCAGAACCCTCCCCCCGGTCATTCGAGCGTGTCATGTCTTGAGGGTACCTACTTTTGGGGTTGCTTTGAAAGGGAACAACTGGGAAACCACCCATTTCCGTGGTTCCTAAGTTGAGACACACCCATTTAGAGCCCTTGCCTTGGCCAGAGGTTCTGGCTCCACCTTGGGCCCTCTGCCGCCCCCTGTTGTCGCCGGCCCAGCTTTGCGGCGGAAACGGGGAGCCGAAGATTCGGCTCGGCCGCAGAGAGGTTCAAGCTTGCAGGTTTTGGGCTAGGGGTGGGGGGCATGGTTTTTCTGTTTGCATTGTTACTGTTTTAGTTGGGGTTGGGTAGTTGGGTGGGGGTGGCGGCAGAATGCATGCCAGCGCCATCAAACCCATTGAACTCATGGGGGTGAACTGCTATCTGTGTGTCAATCTGCAACTGCACGTAGAACTTGAAAACTGGCGTGCCTTTGGAGCGCTGTCCTAACAAGGTTTCAGGGAGGTCGGCGGTTTGATCTGTTTTTCTAGGTTCGGCAGCGCCCTGTGCTGCCGGCGCTGGCGCCGGTGGTGAGCGCTCCCGTCACGGCGCCAGCCTTGAAGTGGCCACCGCCGCCGATACTCCGGCTGATCCCTATGGATGAGAGGCAGGGAAAAGCACCAGCTCGGGGACCCGTCTTGCTGAAAGTACGGTTTTGTGGGCAGTGGTGTCCGTTTTAAATTAGTGTGCTCAAAAATAGATGGCCCTGGTTCAGGTTGGTTTTATGCATATACCAGGGCCATCTATTTTTCCGAAAGGACGCCTATGTTTGTGGGATCTAACACCAAACAGCACATGGGGGGCCGCCCAAAAGCCAAGGACACTAAATATCCTTTGGGGCCTTCACACTGCCAGAGTCCCACAACCAGGGGGAACTCACTCTGCTGTCCACGCCCAGGGCCAAATGAATATGAAGCAATGTTGATGAGCGTATCTTTTGGATGTTGAAAAGGGAGAGTTGTTGGGAAACCCTGTTGCGACTCTCATTTAAAGTTTTAAAGGGACAATCAAAAGCATTGGAAACCCAAGTTGGCACCATTCCGCCGTACCTTTGTCTTTTTGAACAACCCGCTCAGAAACGCCAAGAAACGCGCATACTCTGGTCCAGGCACATGGGCCAGGGTCCAAGGTCCTGTCGGAGCCTTCGTCATTTTGTTTGGGGGTCATACGTGCTCTGTATTCAAACACCCACCCGTAATTCAAACACCCTACACCCAAGATTCTCATGGGGTGGTTGTTGAGGGTACTTCTTGTAAACACTCCCCACCGTCCTATCACAGCTTAGTTGGCATTCCTTTACGAGCTGCTCCAGGGACGTGCTGGTGCAGCTCACCGCGTGGGAGACCATCTAAACTGGACGGGAAAAAACGCATTCCTTTGGAAGTCGAAAATGGGGAAAGCCTTCTAAGGAGGTACTTAGGCCCCTTTTTACCCTTGAAACGCCATCCTCATGAGGTACTTGGAACCCCCAGGCGTGTTTTCACATGCACCCTGAGGGACCAGGCGAACCTGTCGCGCCGGCGCTGGGACTTCCTGGCCGCCGGCGCCGCCGTCGCCCAGAGCGGCGCTTGCGCCGCGAAGGGCGGCGCCGCGGCGGCGCCGGGGCCGCGGGCGCTGGCGGCGGCGTTTCTGCAGAGCGGCATGGCGGACCTGGACTACTTGCTGGATACGGACGGGGAACTCGGGCCCAAAAGGGAGTTCATTACCCTCCATTTGCTTAAGAATCTGTTCATTTTCCCCTTGTTGGTTTTATAAGGAATTCAGCACTACTGGAAATATTTGTATTCTTTCCTGGGGCCTTAACCAAATAGAAGTTACTTGGTGGCTCCCAGCCATCCCCTTAGCTTTTTAGCCTTTTAGTGTTTAGTGGTAGTTTTCATTGAACCCACTAAAAGTTAAACTTTTAGCGGGGGATCTGAGTGCAGCGCAGCTTATCTTGGGGTAGCAAAAAGAGAGTTGCTGGGAACCCCTGCTAAATTGTCGGATCCGTTCATAAGGGTACTTTTGTAGGGCAGCATCAGTGGAGTCAACGCACCCCCACTGAAAAGATTGTGCATAGCACTCTCAGATCTCTGGGCCTTAGAATCTGTTTTGGCCTTCGCAGGCGATTTGCACTAAGGACCCTCCAAGAGGTAACGCATCTTCTAAGAAGCGTCCCACCGATGCCTTGCGGCGACTCCCTTCGTTTGAGGATATCTCTTTGACCCCGACCCCAAGCGAGAAAGACACCCCGACACCTTTGGGAAGGGATCAGGCAGAATGTTGGTAGTTTCGTTTGAGGAGCGCTCCACTTTGGTTGGTTTTGTTTAACGCGCTGAAGTGATTTAAACAGCTCAAGTTTGGGTGTGAACCAGTGGGTCTGAAAGAAGTTGGGTGGGGTGGGTGGGGTGGGGGGGTGGGGGGGTAGAGGAAATCACTGTTTTAAAATTAGCTTCAGATTGGCTCCTGGAATGTTAAGGAACTCAGAAAATATGTGTTTGTAACAGAGGGACCTGTATTTGTAGGAAGAAGGGATTGATCGGCTGGCTGAATCATAGACGGGTGTCCCCTTTTAGTGTCAGAATCCTGCATTTTTGTGGGTGACACAAGGACAAGCATCATCCTGGGGTTTCCATGAACCAGAATTGTGACCACTAAGCTGATGATTGGACTTACTGGCTTGGTCGACCACAGTGAGCGTTGAGCGTCCAATGGTGCCCCTGATGAGGGCGCAGCCCTCTGGGGTGTTTCTCGAGGGAAGAAGCGAACTCAAGGGACATGTTGTTATGGAGGACAGCCGCTGTAGCTGCAAACCAGCTACATGAGGACAATATGTTAAAAGGCTGTATATATTTTCTATACACACGCACACACGGCTCAAATAGTTTGGACACAAACCCGGGTTGAGTCGTCAAGGTGACATTTCGCCAGGGTCACTTTTTGGCGTTTGGGGCGGTGTGTTGGGTCGACCCGAGAAAGTCAAGATGTGATGGAGGGACGTGGTGAACTGGGAAGCTGGCCAAATGAAGCGTCTCCAGAATCACACGGACCCGTTTCTGAAGTCATCTCATGGGTCCGTTGACCTGTGTGTGTGTGTTTCGTTCTTCTTGGTGCCCGAAAAAAGGAAAAGGAGTTGGTGGAAACGGCAACCAAAAGGAACCGCACAAAAATAAGTAAAATGTGTTTGTTGTTTCGTCCCTGTTGTGGAGTGATCTTGTCGGCTTGACGCGCGTGTTTTGTTGCCTTGGCTCGATTTTCAGGAGCCTCCCTTGGAGACCTGGGAGGAGAAAAGCGCCTGGCTGGCCGTTTGCCACGGGCGCATGGCGCTCATCGCCGCGCTGGCGGTGGCTTTGGGAGAGCGCGACACCTCGGACGAGGAGGAGGAGGAGGAGAGGGTGGGAAAAAGGCCTTTCCTGGGGTCTCCAAAAAGATTCTTTGTGAACCCCCTGCCATCCGGTACCTTAGGTTTGTAGGATTTGAGGGTTTGGTGGGGGTTTCCGTTTAACCCACACAAGTTACGCCGCCAGGAGCCAGCTTTTGGAGCCCGCAACATGAAAAGCGCTCTGAGCTGACCAAACCTGGCAACCCTTTTTTGAAGAGCAAATGTTGTGGGGATAAAGATCACTTTGCCCCCACAATGCGCTGTGCATGCACAAGCATGGGACGAGTCTTCAAAATGAAGGAATCGCAAAATGGGTGTCTCTTGAAACTCCCTTTACTACCATCCAAACAGGGATCTGTGCGTTATAAAAAGCATATACCGAGCCACATCAAGGTGTCATTGCCAGACTTTTGCCCAACCTCTTTGCAGTTGATTCCCCTTTTGAGCAACCAGAGGCCACCTCATTTTTTTGAAGTCACGTCGCCACGCCAACTTCCCAACGGCCGTCCGGAGTTGAGATATGTGGAACTTGGCTTCCGGAGAATGCGTCAATTGGCCCATTCTGTGGAGCTTGGGATTAATGATTACAGAGATGTGGGGCTCGGTATCTAGACAAACATTGGACCACGGAAGCTTTGGGAGACCAGCTGACCAGTAGCCGTTCTCAAAAATCTGGATTTGCCTCTCAGCACTGCCCTGAGCGCAGGCCGTGGACTGTAGTTCACGGAGAAATACAAGGCGTCTTCCGGAAGCAGGAACATGTAGGGGTTGATCAATATTCCCAGCCCCAAATGACCACGGACAACTTGTCCCATTTAGCGAACACATCCATGTTTACCGAAGCTTTTGATCAACCCCCCCTATGTTTATCAGATGGATCCGCACACCCGCGCACTGTTTTGTTCTTCTCTTTTTCTCCGGATAGGAGCTGATGAGCCTGCGCTACCTGAAGCGGCGCGGCCATCACAGCTTCCCCACCCGCACCAAGGCTGGCGAGAGATTGGCCTTGTTCTCTTGCCACTTCCAGCTGCTGACGTGAATATTTGTTATTTTCATTTGTTGGTTTTAAGGGCACTACTGAAAATGTGTTGTCATTATCATCCAGGGGGCTTGTGCAAATGGAAGATTATCAACACCCCGCAGGTGGCTCAAGATTGGACATGGGGAGGTGCGCCTTTCAGAACATGCTCACAACTCATATTCCTTCGGAGGGGACGGATGCGCCTCTCGAGTGTTTCACCAACTCCCATGGCCAGGGACAAAGCTTGTTGGACCACCATGGTGTGTGGATGGGAAAATCCACTTTTCGCGGGTTGGCAGGTGTTTCCTCCCAGTATTTGCTGGGGTTTCATCCATCCTTGTCCATCCACAGTAACACCCCAGTAAATGATGTCCACCAAACGGTACACCCATTTGGTTGACAGACTTCGCAGCGATTTCAACAAGCATTGGAGGTCAACAAGTTTGGAGTAGTTCACTTACTGGCTGTCGGGTTTGGAGTGACTGGAAAACCAACTTTATGTAACTTTGACCAAGCGTCGCTTTGCTTCGCAAGCTCCCTCTTGGCATCGCAGGGCCGGCGCTACTTCCCAATAGCGCGGGCGAGCATGCTGAAGCTCTGAACTGCGCAATGTTGCGGCAGGGCCCTCATCCTAAAAGACCCAGGCCGAAATACTTTGAGCAGCGTGTCAGTTCTGGCTGGTTTGCATGGCAAAACCACAAGAGTCATCAGCTTCTTCAATTCAACCTTTGAAGTTTACGTGATGTGAGGTGATTTCTACAGGATGGTGAATGCAAACTGACCATTGCACTGCTGGGTTTTCAAAGAAAGCCCTCACAAATCTCCGACAGCAGGTTGCTGTGGAGACGTTAGTGATAGGGATTGCTTCGCACGTTTGCCAGCACCCATGTACATTATCCGCCTAGGCCGTCTCACTGGATCACAAAGAAAAAGCGCCGTAGCTTGCTTCTTCCGGGGGAGGGGGGGGGGAGATTTTTCGCTGACCGGCTTGTCAAGCTGAGGAGCCGGCGCTTGGCGCAATGTACACGGCCATGAGCGGAATGCACGTGGGATCGCAGGTTGATGCTCGAACACATGGCAAAGACAAGGCGAGACATGCAAAGCATGCATCACGGACCTGCACGCAGATCTGCCACTCAGCGCAAGAAAAATATCATGGCCAGTGACATGCCAAGACACTTCATATGAGAGTGACACAGCATAGAAACATCGAAGTTGTGAAGACACCGGCCTTCGCCTGCATGATCTAGGATGAAGACAGGGCCTTGGAGCCGGGAGGCGGACCCTCAAACGTGGTGGACAGTCCCCAATGATGTTCGCCCAAGGAATCATCAGACCATGGGTGTGGGTCAAAATTCTTAAAAATCACAAGGCGGCCGCAGGTTTTAGTCCCTGGCTCCATCTACCAGGGATCCATTTTGGGCACCTACTTTTGACCCACAGCCAACTCCCTCAGTGCGCTTCTTGGACGACGGGATCCGAAGTGGTCCCCTTGCTCTTGCAGTCGGCAGAGTGAGCCGACTGCTGGGCGTCGTGAGCAGCCCCCAGGCCCCCAGGTCTCAAGATAGGCTTTGGCCAATAGAACATGAAGCCTGTCCCCCAGAAGAGGGGCCCGATGTTTTTCGGCAACAAGCAATTCGCCCCGTCCAACACCAAGTGCTTTTGTTTTTTTTCAAAGGGACACCCGGCCGAGGACCAGCCGGAACCAAACCGGGGGCTCCCGGGGCCCTGGCCTTGAGGTTTGGCAAAAGCATCGGCAGCCAGCAGGAGGCGCGGAGCAAAGCCGGCACGGTGAAAGCTGATGACATCTGCCACGGGGAAATGTGTGGTGGAAACCACTTGTCTACGAGCCATGGAAAACCAATGGGAACAATCCTTGTTGTTGTTCTTCCTGTTTTTTTTTTGCGGTTCTAGCTGATTGCATGCTTGATTGGAAAGGCCCGGGTAAATGCTTTGCAATTATATGTTGGTAGAACCAACTCTTTGGTTTGGGCGCGGCTCAGGTGAGGTTTGGCAAATATTTAAGATGTTTGGATGGGGACAGCTCGTTCTGATGCTTTGGCTCAGCAGCACAAGTCCAGAGAGAAGTCGCGAGCTGCCAAAATCATTCGAGTAGGCAGCAACCAACCCCAACCAACCAACACCCACCCACCCACCCACCAACCCACCAACCAACCAACCAAGCAACCAAGCAACCAAGCAACCAAGCAACCAAGCAACCAGGCAACCAAGCAACCAAGCAACCAGGCAACCAACCAACCAACCAGGCAGGCAGAAGTCTGAAACTGTCAAAGACTACTTAAAATCGTAGCTGGCTGATCGTTCATATCGCCGCCGCAATGGATTTGATATATCGTGTTCTTCTTTTGAGTGCAGCTTGTCACACGGCTTCAGCTGCATCTGAATACAATGGCTCCAGCTATACGCAGATGACAGTGACCACGGAGCGCTATGCTTGCAGCGGCGAATTGACTGGTGGCAATTCCGCAACGAAGATCTTGCAATACGTGCTGGGCGACAAACGTTGTGCTTCGCAAGCTTCATACTTCGAGTGCTCCACGACGGGCTCAAAGGTGGGTCACTTTGCCTGCGATGACGCCTCGTTGATTGAGGAGTTTTCGGTGGACGGCTGCTTCGCGTGCGACGACTACAGGTTTAGCTGCGAACGAATTTGGTGGAAGGGAACATATTACGACGCCAAATATTTTAAGCTCTACTGCAACAAGCCAGCCTCGCACTCGGGGCAATCGCCCATTGGCCGAACGTGGTCTGTAGTGCTGCTGCTATCGAGCTTCGTGATATCATGGTGATTTGCATTTCATTCGCTCTCAGAGGTTTGCTTCCGAAGGAAGACGCGGAATTCGAAAGCTTGTGATCCGCCCGTGAGCGATCCTATGAGGATTTGAATAGCAACTTGGCCCCATGACCCATTTGGACCGTGTTTCCCAGTGAGATCTGGGCCCAAGACCTTTCAGAATCGCCCTGCCTCCAAAATCACTTCATCCGGCGATGAGAAACGCAAAGTCATCGTCCAAGCGATACTAAATCTAAATATATCTGTGTATATTGCTTAAGGTTCGCCATATAGTCTGTAAACCCATGGCTTTGGGTATGCAACAAAGCCCTTATTTGAACACCAGCTTGAATGTTGGGTTTTCAGCCTTGCGCCACCACGACTCGGCCGTCGAATCTCCTTCCTCCAGATACACGAAACGCGGGTCGCACGAAAATGGCAGACTGTGCACAGTGCACAGTCCTCCAGCCCATGGAATGCCATGGGTCAGCAGATGTTCGCAAGTTGAAATTGCAAAGTTCACATCTACAAATCAATCCATTTTGGCCGGGTCTCCTCGTCCCTGGGGGATGGGGAAAGAAACGGAGCAATCGAAGAAAAGAGAGCTTGTCAGCATGATGTTGGAAGATTGATTTTTGGGCACCCCTCAAGTCGAGGTGAATCGGGTTTACGTGAAAACGACCGGTATATGGTTGGCAGTTGCTCTCAAGGATTACTCCAAGTGCCAACAGTCTAGCTTGTTTTGTTGGGACGCAGGGAGATAACTGCGCGGACCCTGCCCTTAAACAGAGATTCATGTAATTAGGTCAGAGCGCTGGAAGAAAACCGATGCCATGGCTACCGTTTCCTTGGAGAACCCCCCCCCCCCGAAAACGGGTGGGTCACAGGTTCCCCGGTTCAAAGAAACGGGGACAGGGCCATGCGGACCTGCATTACCTCGACTACAAGCTTCTAAAAAAGAAGTCGGCGCCTCGGAGTTGAGACGAAAGCTGCTGGCTCTGTGGGGTTGGAGTCCCGCGGGAAATGAAACTCTGCATGTCAAGAAAGCTCCCAGAAAGGTCCCCCAGCGACCGGTGCCTTTCTTTACCAACTTTTTTGGTTGGGAGGGATCCCCTAAAATAAACTACAGAAAAAGGGTAGCCGTATTCTAACCTCTCTACTGGAGGACCTAGTCATGTGGGGTTGGTGGGGAAGCCAAAAGGGTCCAACTCCCTTTGCAACAAAGTCACTTGGTTCTTTGGACAGAGGGAGAAGATGTAAACAACTATGTATGTTTGTTTTTTGGGGGCGCCCATGTTGGGGCTTGAATGGAAATTAGAGGGAAACGACCCATGAGGGGTCCCGCATTTGGAGACACCACTGACATCCCGAAAGATCCTTTCAGAGGCGGGCAAAGTCAATTCGCCCTTCCAGACGACGCGGTTTCTCCCGGGTGCGGTGTTGGCACGGGCTATGCTAAAACAGGTTGCTTGGGGTTTTATGCAGGGCAGAGGTTGCTGGGTTGGTGGGGTTGGTGGGTTCGTGGAAGCCAGAGGGGCGAACAAATCGACCTGATGCTCAAACACCATATCGCACACTGAACTTGTCCCATGGATTGAAAACAAGTCCGCAGGATTCCGCAGGTCAGAGTTCTCGACATGAACATAGCCAGGGTCCCATAGCCAGTGCTCGAAGGTCCATGTGGGGTTCGGAACATGTGGACTACGTTCCCCACCTTCGCAGCTTGACTCGAAACCCCAATACCTCAAGTTCCGAACCCCCCCAGGGTCCATGAAAGGAACCCAACAGCGGATTCACTAAAGATGGCAAGTGAACCAACTCTTCAACCACAAAACCCAGAAAAACCCTGGTACATCAAAGTAGGCTCCTTTTTCAGATGCTTCAAATTGGTCCAAAACAGGAAACTCGACTGCAGGGCCATTGAACCTGTTTGGGCGCGTTTTTTTGCCCTCTCTTGGGAAGTCGCCTTTTTCGGGACAAGGGAAAACCGCCCAACCGGGCGATTGCTCAGGATCAAGGATGTGGTGGCGAGACTCCAGAGCAGTGAGCTGGCAGAGGCTCGGATCGTTTGGTGTTTGATTCACAGACGCCAAGAGGCGGTCCTTTTGGGTGCGTTTGTTTGAGATCTGGTTTGGAATGGCAGTGCCACCTTCTTGGTGGAAGAACTGGTCCTTTTTCTTTTTTGAGTTTGAGATACACTCAAGACTCCTGAACATGTGTTGCTTGTCCTCCCCTTTCATCCAAGGATTACCAACTCAAGAAAAAGATCCCCTGAGAGACATGAAGGGCCCCACTTTCAACTTGTGCCCTGCAGTGCCCTTCCAGCGCCTCTCGGTGGGTGCAGGCCCTCACAGCGAACTCTGAGTTTGAGGAAGTGCTTGCAGCCGAAATCGGCCGTGCTGCGGCCCAAGTCACCAGATGCCAGATGCCGATTGGGATGTGTGTGTGTGTGTGGGTGGGTGGGCGGGTGGGCGGGTGGGCGGGTGTGTCTGTGTGTGTGTGTGTGTGTGTGTCTGTAAGATTGATTGAGCAGACACTGCCAAGCAGTGCAAAACCAGCCTGGCAGTGCAGCACTGCACCGGGGCATTATGTTGCGTGGCAAGCTCAGGTGAATCAATGCTTCTCGGTGAGGCAGCGTGAGCTTTTAGACAGGCCAGCAGCTTGACAGCTTTATGCTGTTGGTGTGTTTTGGAGGCAGAGATCAAGGCAGATCGAGCATCGGCTTGACTTGCAGCCCTTTGAAGGACAGCAGGAATGTCCGAGGAGTTGCAGAAGCCGCAACAGGCCAGCCTGCCGGTGGATGACGGCACCGCAGCATGTCCCTGGGTGAATTATAACGACCTCACACGACCTCACCCCAAATGGTGGTTTATGTGGGGAACCTTATTTCAGGCTGGTGAAATCGGTGAAATATTACAATTCACCCAGGTGTCCGGACCCGGAAGACAAACTCTACGCGTGTCGTATGCGCTGACTCTCCCTTCCTGCGCCTCGCAGGAAAGAGTCAAAGGCGCTGCTGGAGGCCTGGACCTTTCGCCCCGCATGGATGGCCCCAGCTGCGGTTGCTTGGTGGGTTGGAGCCTGGGGACCAGAACCTCTGGTTCTTGTAGAAGGTATCAATTCACCACCAAACCACCGTGCCCCAAATCACCAAACGAGGGAAGCTGAGTTGGGTGTAGCGAATGCTCTGTTTTTTCAGGCCCATTTTACCATGAGCCTCCGCAAGCTTGGGTCGCTGCAGGGTTTGTTTGGGGGAAGAGCAGTGGCTCAGGACTGCACATTGTCTTGTTTCTATTTTCCCCCAGTTGGCTGCTGGACACGTCCCCACCAGGGTCAGATGATGGGGTGACCCAGATTTGCTCCGAGCCTTCAACAGTGACCAAACCGTAAGTGGGAACTTTCTTTGGGTGAGGGTGTTGAAAGGTACCCTCCCTCCAATCATGGAAGCGGACAGCCTGGCGTCGGAAGACTACTTTCGTTAAGAGAGGCCAATGCCCTGAGTGGTGGTAACTTACGCGCAAAACACGTGTCTTTCACAAGAGAAGACAAGCAACTCTGGCACGCATAGTGTTCGTTAAAGCAACAGTGGCCGACAAAACATAAGATCTTGCTGGTTCGAGGCAGCGCCGTGGCACCACGGGACGCGCTTAGGCTGGGTGAACTTGGGTCTCGGGGATTTGTCTCAATCTTCGCCACCACCTCCCCCCCCAAGAAACAAAAACAGAAGAAACAAAAACATAAACACACACAACAATGTGAGGGAGTATGTTTTACGTAACAAATGTAGTTCGGGGGGTGGGGAGACAGCTGCGCACTTGGGTTGAAATAGGCCGGCTTCTTGGGGGTTCATGGTTGGAAAACGTGAGCTTCACTGAAAGTTATAATATGTATAATTATGCGAATATCAAATGAAGCCATTAGACTTTGGCATGGCCGAAATCTCATTCTGCAAAGAACTGTCACGCAGAAACATAAAACCAATAACATGGACTTATGCAGCATGGTTGCTTGCTCATTTCATTGTGCCGCGGGTTGGGCAATGGTGTGCCATCAAAGTCTTTTCGCCCAATGCATCAATCTCAAGAGGCATGGCCGATGAAATCACATCATCACATTCTGGTGAACCTGTCTGCCCCACCAGTCTGCCCGGCGTTCCGACCGGGCCTGTAAAGCCTTGGCATTGGCTTAGAGAGTCAAATGGGTGCGGCTGAGAAGTAGTTCTTGGGCTCCAAAGGTGTTTCTTCGCTCCACTTGATGGATGGTCCTCTTGGATCTTGACTGAGATGATGAATATTGCGTAGATGAGGCAGAATAATTTGAGAATTTGAGCAAGGTAGCCTCAGGGAATGAGTTGGAAATTGACCCCCAGAAACCGTCCATCGCCCATGGTGTCCCTTTTTTTCCGGCCCGCGCTGAGAGCTGGAGCCAGGCACCTCGTAGACATCCTGCAAGAGGCGCGCAACTTGCTTGGGCTTGGGGCTTGGGGCTTGGGGTGTGACCCCCTCCAATTGCTGGTCTGGTGGGTCTTCTGGTGGGTCTTCTGGTGGCGTCCCGTTTCAACCCCGAAAAGAACGACAAGGAGGGAAAACCACGCGAAAAGCCGCGAATTCAGGACTGGGGGGTTTTGGACACCCCTTGCTGATCAACTTCTTTCTGATAACCAATCCTGGGCCGCTTCCAGGGGCTGAAGAAAGGTTCCTCCCAGCGCCCGGGGGATATGGGCCCAGTTGCCCAGGGGTGGACCTTTTTCCCTTTTTTCTGGGAAGGGTTTCCCTTAAACTCAACCACCCAAAGAAAAGGATGCCCTTTTGTTCCCCTGGCCACGCATCTGGGTATAGGTTTGGACGTAAAAGAGGATCCAACTGGCCTGCTGAGTCAGAAACAGATGGGTGTGTCTTTTTTTGGACTTGTCTTTTACTTTTTTACAAGCAACCACACAGGGGTACTCGTGCCCTCAAAAAGAGGCACACCCACATGTTCCGGCCGGAAGATCTGGAGTTTGGCATCGCGAGGTGGACCAACTGCGGAAGTACGCGGTTTGGAACGCCGTGGGCCTCGTCGGCGTCCTACTTTGGAGCCATCTCTTAAGGGTCGGATTTCGCGTGCAGTCGGTGAGGTGAAAATTCTGAAGAAGCGCCGGAAGCAGACTAGCAGGCAGCCTAGCTTGCGCATTTTTTGCCGGGTGCAGCAAACAAAACTGCGACCACCACAGCACTGGTTTTTTGACAGCGCTTGGAACTCCCAGGCTTTGGGATTGAGGACTCCGCTGCCGAGCGTGTTGGCTGGTTGTCCCGCCGCAGGCCCAGTTGGCCAAGAAAGGCTTCTCTGAGTAGAAACTTGATGTGTGGGAGTGCTCTCAGTAGGGTCCTCCGGACAAATCTGAAGATAAAGATGATATAGTCAGAAGGTAGATCATGGGTGGCGGTGTATTGCCTACGTACATGCAATTAATATGTATATATATCTACTGTACATAGATGTGTATATATTTGTATGCATATATACATTATACAGGCAGTGATGAGCAATTATCCGACAAATAGTTCACGTATTGATACGGTCGGAATGCATAGACCCTAAAAAGTTGTTTTCGTTGTGAAATGAGATGGTCCCCCCCAAGTATACGAGATCAACACGAGATAGTGCTGTATTGTAGATAGCCATGTGAAACGAGATAACACAAGATAAAGTCTTGCTCACTGCTGCTTCTGGAGGTAGCGCGCCAACAGTAGCAAAGCAAGCCGAGCCCAGAACGAGTCCAAAACGAGTCCGCACCGATTGGCATGGCTTCGCGCAGTGAGCCATTGCCGAAGTCCACTTTGCCTCATTCTTGTAAAACGCAAAGCGAAACGCGATGAAGCCATTTGGGCATGCGGACAAGAGAATCAGTTTGCCCGTATCGACAAATGGCTGTGGCTCAAATAAATGTACCAAAATGGCCCCCTTGGTAAATGGAACCAAAGACCAAAACCAGCGTAACCCTAGCTCCTTAATTTCGAGCCACAGCCAAATCACGGCACAACATGCACTGCTCATCCTCTGCTCATCGCGCGCATTTGGATCGACCCAGGGCAGAACTTCTTCAGCGGCTCAGACTTTGCGGAGCTGCACGCGTCCATCGAGTCCTTAGGGCAGATGTCTGGGCCATGGCGAATTTTTGCCAAGGGTTTTTGTATTGCGCCTGGTAAAAAGACTCCACGTAGGAAATGAATTCAGGGATAAGATCATGTTATTTTGGACCATTTTGGGCCGTTTCAATCCCAGGGTGTAATACGACAACCCGTAGAAAATTCGTGTCATTGAGGACTTCCAATTGCACTCGGAGTTCCCCTTTCCGAGCCCAGTGAACCATGTGCGGAATGTGTTTTTTTTTTTGTACGGCTTCCCTGGGCTCGTCAACGCGAGGTTGGTGATCTCCGAAATTGTTCCAGAGGCTCGGGCTTTTGATGCACACCCTTTGGGAAGCCCAACATAATTCATCCATTTGCTTTCTCTGGGAATCGCCCGGATTCTCGGCGATTCCCCGGTGGAGCAGCGTTTGTTTTTTCAACAAAAGCCCTCGGATTTCGCGAGGAGGGAGCGATCGGATGTGAGCCTTAGCGCACCCCGCAGGGCGCGCTGCACTCCTCCAAAGAGGCCTCTTGGGCTCAGGGTTCCCGGACTTTTGCCGGGGCAGTCAGTGGGGTTTCGGGGTTTGAATGTGCCCTGACAGGGGGTGCCCTCATTC